AATGGTGAAGCAGACTTAATGGACTGAATGACCTACTTTGCCTCCTATGTTTTATGGCTTTATAACATCTGTATTTGTTCTGTATGGTTGCAATGTAAAATGATCTTTCTCTCATTTCTCGTTTTTAAAAATAAACTATGAAGCTCTGTTTGCTCATCCACATTTGAGAGTCAGTGTGCTGTTAGTATGAATTTTAGCATTTCTTTTCAACTCTAGTGCAAATCATTTTAAATTTTAAATTGAATTTCTGCCAAATGTTTCAGAAATTCAGGCTTATCTTTGAATGTTAGAATTCAAGCTATACGGCTACCTTCATAACTGTACACATATATTTTAATTCAGTCATATTTCCACTCTAATGTTTTATGAAAAACACCATGCTTTAATGATACATTGGTGGTGTTTTGAATGATATACTCAGCTGGGTAAAAATACAGCTTCGTGGGACTAGGGTAAGAATTGTGGATGGTGGTATTGGAGTCAGAGTTGAATATCATTACTTGCTAACTGCTTTTGATATAACATATCAGCTTTAGCCTCTCAATCTATTTATTTCTGAAATATATTCAGTGACTTTGCCTCTACAGCCTTCTGTGGTAGAGAATTCCAAAGATTCATTGCCCTCTGAGTGAAGAAATTTCACCCCATCTCAGTCTTAGATGTCGTCTTGTGCATTCTAAAACTGACCCCTCGTTCTGGATTCACTGGCCAGGAAGAACATCATCCCTACATTCAGTCTGACCAGCCCTGTCAGACTTTTATACATTTTAATGAGATTCTCTCTCATTCTTCTTAACTCCGTTGAATACAGGCCCAGACCACTTAATCTTTTTGTACAACAAACCTGCCATCTCAAGAATCAGTTTGGTGAGCATTTGAACTCGCTCTATGGCAAGAATATCTTAGTTCCACGCACTAATCCCTGATGTGGTCTCATTCAAAATGCAATAAGGCTTACTCCCGTATTCAAACTTCTTGCATTAAGGGCCAACACACCTTCACAACTGCTTGCTTTCAAAGCCTGGTGTACGAGGATGCCTAGGTCCCTTTTGTGCATCAACTTTTTCCAATCTGTCAACACTTTTAAAATATTTATGGTAACAATCATTAAGATTCTGTGAATATACATGGACTTCTGATGAGAGCCTGTTCGCAAACTAGCTCTTGTGAAAATTAGAGTCTACTTGTCCTATGGTACTTTCTGAAAATCGGTGTTTACCTCCCTTAAGCAAGCCTTCGGTCATAATGTGAGAGTCTGTGTCCTACTTTAACAAGCAAAACTTGAACACCCTCATTTTGAAATGGGGTGGGGAAGGGCCTGTGTGAGGCTATAGTTAGTGTTCTCTTTCCTGACTCGTATTTCCTGACCCCAGGTAAGTGAGAATGATTCTTCATTCCTCCTTGCATCCGTTTTATTCTGGTCTTGGTCTGTCCAATGGCCTTGGATCATGTGACCATTCACTGGCACTCTTTTATTCCATAGATATAATGTGGAATGCAACAATTAATCAATAACTTCACGGCAAAGGAGCCTCTAGATGTCAGCAGTCACGTATTTGAATTTCAAGCTCCAGTTGAAAGGAATCTATAAACTAGTGTTCCTAAACCTAAAATAAAGGTAACTATGCAGAGTTGAAGACAGAATTGGCTAAAGTGAACTGGGGTAACTGGGTTAAAAGGTAAGCCGATAGAGTTTCAGTGGCAGATGTTTCTAAGGAGATAATTTAAACTCAGCAAAGGTTTACCCCAGTGAGAAAGAGAAGCTTTCAGAAGGATGTCTCATCTGGGGCTAAACAAGGAAGTTAAAGATAATATTAAATTTAAAGAAACAGTTAAAAATCTGCAAGGATCAGGGGATTAGACAGTCTCTAAGATCTAGCAAAGATGATGCAGAAAATACAGCACGACAGAAAGCTAGCTAGCACTTAACAGTTTCTACAATCTAGAACATGAGGGAAATAGCCTTATGGGGAGAGGAACAGTAATTCGATTGGCTTGAGAAATTTCCTCACTCAATCTTCAGAATTATCTACCTTGGAGTTGCAAATGGTACACTGTTGACTAGTCAAAATAACAATAAAACAATTCTATAAAGTAAAAAGAATGAAGATAAAATAGACTATTATACAATAAATTTAAATATTTTGAAATGATGAAATATAATCCCATTAAACTCAAATGTTCCTTTACAAATCCCAAAACACATGATTCATAAGCACCCTTTGTGTGGCACCAACACATCAGAAAATCCCTTTTCTCTAACACCTTGATGTTTTAATTTCAATTCAACTGCCTCTCTGCAAAATCTGATAAATTCTTCCTGGAGCTATCATACAAGGCTTAAATGTTCGCCGCGTCAAATAACCTGTTCAGGGTTTTATCCAAACACTTTTGGTCTGGGACTATAATGAGCTTCTTACTCTATATTCTGCCTTTCTCAGGAGCAATATTTATTATGAAACCTTCTGCAGAACAACCCAAAACTGACAAAGGTAGGTTTCTCTAAACTGTGGACACTTCCCCTTTTTGTGAAGAAGTCGTAGAGTCTTTATATCTGGGTCCAAGTCCCCCTTGCTCCAGAAATGTATCGTGACATGCCTACAAAAGAACAAGTATAGAAATTTCTAACAGAGGCTCGGTACATTTATTTATAGTCTGTAAAGTCTCCTAAGGTAAACAAAAAGCTTTAGTTCTGAAAACTAACCGCCTCAAACCATTTTGAAAATAAATAATCATGGCTACAGAAATACAAGTGAATGATCAATTCATTCTGACTCAGGAAGACTTATGTCACTACTTCAAAAATGAAAATCCAAATTTAATATAAACAACACAAAACAAAAACCACTGAATCAGAAGGAAACTTTGCGGTCTACCCAATCTAGTTATGTGCATGATTGGAAGAACTAATGGGAAAAGGAGGGAATATTCATGTAGCCATTCTGTGGTGCTAGAGCCTAGCATGTGAATGAAAAGACTATGCTAAAGCACTTCCAATCATCATCAACCAAAAATGCCAAGTGGAAAAAATTTACCTCTGCCTCTTTCTGAGATCCACACTTCTCAGATGCTAGTCTTTAAATTGTTTTCATTCGCTCCGTTGAGCACAGTGGATATGGCAAAAAGCTGTGGATTCTAACAGTGGGCTGAAGACTTGTGCTCCAGAACTGATGATGCTGTCACTTTTTAAGGGGCTATTTTGCCTTTTTTTTTTTTTTGGAAGAGCTTGTAAGGCAGAGGTACTGAGCTGTCTCTTAAAATAAAGTAAACAATTGTGAGGCCTTGGGGCTGTTTTTTAAAGTTGGAACAATGGAAGCAGATTGGGTGTGGCCACCTCTCTCAGACCAGGTTTTCTAGTTTCCATAGTTTTTGGGTTGAGTTTTAGGCAGAAGCCATTGGGGCCTTATAAGATTTGGAGCCTTCAGTGAATGTCTCCTGGCTACTACACTCGGGGTCATCCCTTGATTTTTTTTTCCTCGATTGGAGAACTGCATGTGAGAATCTGGGTCTGAATTTGCCTTTTTGCCTAATGGAATGTTATTATATTGGAACAGTTAATTAGTAATAGTTACTAAATCTATTATTTGGTTAAGTATCCACCTGACAGAATGTAAAATTGCCCAAGAATATTCAGTTCACAAAACTGAATTCATTAACTCTACTACCGGCAGCATTTACTTACTAATAACCCACTTACTCACGATTTCTAGATTCATCCTAGACTATACACCTCCCAATCCTATCACACATGGTTCAACATGGGCAAAGATTTCAATTCTGGGGGTGCATTATCATCAATACTAAGTGTGACATCAAGGAGCTGTAATAACATTGTCGGTGGAAATCAAAAAAAGTTTTGCTGGTTTGAACCCAATCTGACACAAAGGAATTTGGCTTTGGTTGTTGATGGCCAATCATTGCAACTACAGCTCATTTTCTGAACAGGGCTTTTTTTTTGGCAGTGTCCTAACTCGGCCATCTTTGGCTTCTTTAATGACCACGCTATCATGAAATTAAATGTAGAAATGTTCTCTGCACAGGATTCAGCTTAGTTTCAAACGCCTCTGAAGCAACCCATGTCCGATGAAATGAGACCAGGACAGCATTTAACCTTGGATTCTTACATGGCAAATAACCTTCACGCCCAAAAAAGTGCCAGGAGTTGACAATCTCCAACGAAACAGGTCCAACAGTTTCACCTTTTCCTTTGGGCCATAGTTGACCAGAAACTAAACTGTACCAGGCGCATAAATATAGTGATTATAAAACAGGCCAGAGACTGGATATTCACCAGTGAATAACTTGCTTCCTTGCCAAAGGTGCAAATAAGTGTGTTGAATTACTCCCCTTGAGTGCAGTTCCAGCAATATTCAACTCCACATAATCCAGGACAAAGATACTTTATTGATGACCCATCTCCTGTTTTAAACGTTCAGCCTGTGTGTAGGGAGTGAATGTACTGCAGTGTGTACCATCTCAACAATGCTAGAAGTTATTCAACTATAATAATCCCAAGCACATGGGAATAGTATCACTTCTAAAGTAATCACAGAGAGAGAGAGAGATTATATATATATTTTTTTTCCAAGACTCATTGCCGCTTCATTGCGGAGTCAAAATGGTGTACCTGCATCAGCACGTGCTGAAGGACAATTTGCAATGGTGCATAAATTTTTAAAAATGACCACAGGATACAATCATTAACAAATTTTAAGTATTTGAATAAACAAGTAACTACATGACCCAACTTCTTTCTAAATTTATGCCTTTTTGACATGACTTATTTTCACTCTTTGTCTTCAAACACATCCAATGCCAGATCAGTTGCTTAAAAGTCAGAAAATTTGGGTCAAAATCCCTACCTCAGTTTGGTGCGAGTCATGTTATTTGAATTCTGCAGTGACCATTGTCTGCTTTCTCAATTGCTAATAAAAGAAATCCCGATAACTTAATGTCCTATCCTCAACACAAGGTGATTTTGTTTTTTTTTTATTTTGCAGATCTTTATCAACAATGAATGGCATGATGCTGTCAGTAAGAAAACGTTCCCAACCATCAACCCTTCCACAGGGGAAATCATCTGCCAGGTTGCCAGGGGAGATGAGGTAATTTGAGTAGCTGTTCAGTTGTCTATTTCTCATAATTTTCTGTCCTTTCACTTGAGCCAGCTGTTTCCTTTATCTTGACTCTGCGTAGTAAATTAAGTATGGACAGATTTATGGAAAATGAATCAGGTGTTGATTGTAAATAGAGATAACCTTGCGGAAACAAAATATCTGTAAAATGCTTTGAATTATAATGGCAATTTGTTCAAAAGTAAGCCCTTTTGATGGTCTAATGAATAAAGGTACCTTACTATCTTGTGACTGGAGGTTGAGTAGTTTAGGCCTCTAATTGTTAGAAGAATAAGAGTTAACCTTAGAAACATACAAGATTCTTAAAGGGCTTGACAGGGCAGATGTGGAAACGTTGTTTTCCCCCTTTTGGGAGAGTCGAGAACCACGGCATAATCTCAGAATAAGGGATCATACATTCAAAACGCAGGTTAGGAGGAATTCCTTTTGAGGATAGTGAATCTGTGGAATTCTTTACCGCACAGTGGGTATTAAGGCTGGGTTGTTAAGTATATTCAGGGCTGAGATAGATACTCTTAATCAATAAGGGAATTGAAGGTTATGGGGAAAACACAGGAAAGTGGAGTTGAGGATCATCAGATCAGCCAGGATCTCATTGAATGGCAGAGCACACTTGAGAGGCTGAATGGCCTACTTCTGCTCCTATGACTTGTCCAATGGTCTAAGAGAGAACATTTGAAGCAATTCTTGATAATGTTCAAAATCACCGAGGTTTAGAATAGAATAGCAATTTCTTGTCACTTGTATTTTTACAAAAAAAAGTAAAGTTTTCAAAGTCGCCATACCACAGTGCCTAAATCACAGTTCAATTAACAACTCCTGGGTTTGGGATACACTGGAAAACTAGCCAAGACTGCCCCACCATGCCAAGACAAGATCTCCATGCCTGGACTAGACATCTATCCTGGGCAGTTGGAAGATTCAGAAGCCTGAGCAAAAGAAGGAAAAACCCTTTCTAGTTACGAAAGGACACATTTTAAGGTAGTAGGCAGAGGTGACAGTGGAGAGAAACAAAATGCTATTTGTAATTTGAAATGTATTGCCTGGCAAACTGTCACAAGATTTCAATTTCCTGAATGGAATTGAGTAAATAAGCAAAGTGCAATGGGAGTGCTTGGATATATCTTTCAATGAGATGTAAGCACAATGGACCATGTGGCCTATTTCTGTTCGGTGAAGTGTGTTGAAAGGTGGGAAAAGTGTTCGTTTAGATCGAAAATGGCTAAAATTGAGTTGTCTAATGCCAATGAATATATTTAAAAACTTTTTTCAATTTCTGGTACCTGATATAGTCACTTAAATGTTTATATTTCCTTGAACATTGTCAAATGCTTGCTTTCTCTCTATATGTTGGCTCATGTTTGGTATTCCATCTGTCCACAGGATGATGTGAATAAAGCAGTGAAAGCAGCAAAAGAAGCATTTAGGTTTGGATCTCCATGGCGATTAATGGATGCATCACAAAGAGGGGTCCTTATAAACCGTTTAGCTGATCTCATTGAGCGTGATCGAGCATATTTGGCAGTAAGTTCTCCTTGTGTATTGTTGCACTTGGGAGTCTATTTTACTTTGCAAAACATTACAGCAAGGACAAAAGTTTTGCAACTATCGAGCACTCCCAAATTCTGTCCTAACGTTCCTTGGATTTAATACTTCCTGTTTTTTTTAACTTGGTTTGTCAACATGAGCTGGACATTTCAAATTGAATAGGAACACGCCCCTAACAATAACACCTGCCCTTCAGCATCTTATTTATCTTTGATTACAGATGTATTGGGACGGGGTTCAAACAATTTGGTCAACTTACAGCTATCTACAAGAAAGGGATAAATCTCATTGTTGAAACTACAGAGTGATTTCCCTACAATCCACTGGAGCAAGATCCTGGTCTCCATCCTCCTGCTCCTGAAGAATTTGTCCTGGAAACCCAGTGTTGGTTCCAGCCATAGTGGGGGAACTGAAGGCATGGCCTTTATGGTTTGGCAGATCTAGGAAAAACGTTGGGAGCAAAATTCAGAATTATTTCTTGCCTTTATCAACCTGACCGAGGTGTTTGATTCTTTAAATTGTGAAGCCTTATGGATCGTTCTCCAGTGCTTTGGTTGCTTATAGGACAGTGACAAACTTCAATAACTACCTGCATGACAAAAATAACTTTTGCTGTCTTGAGTGGAAGATCTGAAACTGACACCTTGTACATCCAGACTGGGGTCAAACAAGGCTGGGTGATCATCCCCATCTTGCTCACCTATCCAAGCATAGTCATTCCCTTCATTCAAAATGAAATACCGTCCAGTATCCACTGTAGTCCAGATGGCAAGTTTTTTAACCTTAGCTACTTTCAGCAAAAACAAAGCTCATCACCACGGACATCAATGACCTTAAGGTTGTAGGGGACCTACGCATGATGGCTTACCACCTCACAGGAGACTCAGAATGCTGAACCCTTTCAACATGTTTTATATGACATTTGGCTTGTCCTCAAATGTCACTGAGACAAAGGTCTTCCATCCTCTTTCCCCCTGCATTCTAACCCCTACCTTCTCTACCATCTCACTCCCCACATCTTTTGGGTAGAAGGGTGGCTGTGGAGTAAATGCTGTTTCCCATAAGATTGTCAGCACCTTTTTCCAAGAGGTTACCGCCAATGAAGAAGTCCAACATAAAGTCAGCTGTGCCGGCAGTGCTGCCTTCCCTGGTAACAATGTGCCTTTGACACCAGGTCAGAAATCAGACAACATGTTAAATTCCGACAGGTTTATTTGAAATCAAGCTTTCAAGAGTGTAGCCCCTTTGTCAAGTGACTCACCTGGTGTCATAGATAGAACATAGAACAATACAGCACAGTACAGGACCTTCGGCTCACGATGTTGTGCCAAACTTTTACCCTAAACCTAAGGTCTACCTAACCTCCACCTTATACTATCATCCATATGCCTATCTAATAGCTGCTTAAATGCCCCTAATGAGGCTGACTCCACTACCCTCTCCGGCAATGCATTCCACGCCCCTACCACTCTCTGAGTAAAGAACCTACCTCTGACATCTCCCCTATATCTACCTTCACTCACTTTAAAATTATGCCCCCTCATAATAGCTACCTCCACCCTAGGAAATAGTCTCTGGCTGTCCACTCTATCCATACCTCTGATCATTTTGTACACCTCTATCAAGTCACCTCTCATCCTTCGTCGTTCTAAAGAAAAAAGCCCTAGCTGTCTCGACCTTTCCTCGTAAGATCTTCCCTCCATTCCAGGCAACGTCCTGGCAAATCTCCTCTGCACCTTTTCCAATGCTTCCATATCTTTCCTGTAACGAGGCGACCAGAACTGGACACAATACTCCAGATGTGACCAAACCAGGGTTTTGTACAGCTGGAGCATAACTTCACAGCTCTTGAACTCAATCCCTCTATTAATGAAAGCTAACACACCATATGCCTTCTTAACAACTGTATCCACCTGGGTGGCAGCTTTCAGGGAACTGTGGACATGAACCCCAAGATCCTTCTGCTCCTCCACACTGCTAAGAATCTTTCCGTTAACCCTGTATTCTGCTTTCAAGTTTGTCCTTCCAAAATGAATCACCTAACACTTTTCAGGGTTAAACTGCATCTGCCACTTCTCAGCCTAGCTCTGCATCCTATCAATGTCCCTTTGTAACCGAGAACAGCCCTCCGCACTATCCACTACTCGACCCACCTTCATATCATCCGCGAACTTGCTAATCCACCCTTCCATTCCTACATCCAAATCAGTTAGAAAAAGCACAAATAGAAGAGGACCCAGAACAGATCCTTTTGATACACCACTCGTAACTGAGCACCATGTTGAATATTTTCTGTCCACTACCACCCTTTGTCTTCTAAGGGTCAGCTAATTCTGAATCCAATCTGCCATGTTTCCCCCTATCCCATGCCTCCTTACTTTCTGCATGAGCCTACCATGGGGAACCTTATCAAACGCCTTACTTAAATCCATGTATACCACATCCATTGCACTACCTTCATCCACGTGTTTGGTCACCTCTACAAAGAATTCACTAAGGTTTGTGAGGCATGATCTACCCCTCTCAAATCCATGCTGACTATCACGAATCAAACTGTGCCTATCCAAGTGATCATAAACCCTATCTCAGCCCTTTCCAATAATTTTCCCACCACTGAAGTAAGACTAACTGGCCTGTAATTTCCGGGGTTATCCCTATTCCTTTTTTTTTTTTTTTTTTTTGAGCAAGGGAATGAAGTTTGCCACTCCAATCTTCCGGCACTATACCCGTGGACAGTGAGGACGAAAAGATCATCACCAAAGGCCCTGCGATCTCTTCCCTCACTTCCCATAGAATCCTTGGATAAATCCCATCAGGCCTGGGGGACTTAGCTATCTTCAAGTTCCTCAAAATACCTAGTACATCGACCTCCTTTAGCCTGTTTCTCACTGTCCTCCCCTACAACTAGGTCCCTCTCGGTTGTGAATACAGAAGAAAAGTATTCATTAAGGACTTCTCCTATCTGTTTAGGCTCTGTGCACAAATTCCCTTTACAATCCTTGATCGGCCCTACCCTTTCTCTGGTCATTCTCTTATTCCTCACGTATGTGTAAAAAGCTTTGGGGTTTTCCTTGATCCTATCTACCAAGGTTTTCTCATGCCCCCTTATAGCTCTCCTAAACCCTTTCTTCAGCTCCTTCCTGGCTAATTTGTATCCCTCTAGAGCCTTTTCCGATCCTTGTTTCCTAAACCTTGTCGTTCGACCTCCCTTGAGAACCAAGGCTCCCTCACTTGACTGCATATTCCCTGCCTGCTGGGACAAACATATCTAGCACACGCAGTGTGCACTCCTTAAACAATCTCCACATTTCTATAGTGCTCTTCCCTGACTTCTGACCTTGTCCACCTCAGTCCAACACTGGCACCTCCACATCTTTTGACAACAGGAATTTTGAAATTCAGGGAGGGTCCTGATGTGCAAGGCTGTGGTGTTGACTACCCTCCTGCACTACAGCGAAACTTGGATCATCTGGAAACATCACATTAAGATTCTTGAAAGTGCTGTTCGTGGCAGCTTTTGTAAAATTCTGCGAACCAAATCGACTGCTGGATCAACACGAGCATCCTCTGTGAAGTTGTATCTACCAGCATAAAAACGCTGCTCTGAAAAAACCAACTCGTGCAGAGATGGATGCCCAAAAACCACCTTCCTGGGCAGGTTCCCTTCTCCTAGTTCTCCAGTACTCAAAAGGTAGCCAAAGTATAAGCATATATTCAAAGCTGCCCAAAAGCACAGGCATTAACACCACTGACTGACTACAAAGGTGAAACCTGCTAATGCTTGGCATAGTGTTTCCTGATCCATTAAGGCACAAGCAGCTTCAAGGTTCAGTGTCTCAACCATGAGTTGGAACACCAGTGGCAGAAAAAGGAAGCCAATCTGAGGATGCAAATTTTCCCCACTATAATGTGGCTTCCCTGAAGGGGATTCTAAAATTGAGCACTTCAGTCTTTTGATCACTCATCCAGTTTGCCACATATCTGCGTTCTTTAGTTTATTTGATGATGATGCTGGAAATTTGAAAGAAGAAAAAATTGCTGGAGAAATGTAGCAGGTCTGGTAGCATCTATGGAGAGAAAGCAGAGGTAATGTTTTGGGTCAAGTGACCCTTCTTCAGAACACTTAATGCCACACATCATCTTTGATTCCAAGGGACCATCGATGACAAGAAATAACTGATTAAGAGGTGGAAGTAGGAGGTTTTAGTGATGGAGTAGATGTGCAGTGGAAGTTTATCTGCATCAGTTAAGATGACAAGATTATAAACAGTCTAGTTGAGCCTTAGACAACGACCAAGTAATTGGATGGCGTTAAAAGATTGGGGGCCAGAGGCACCGGCTTTGACCTCCATAATATGTATTGTGAAACCATTCTGCTCTTTAAGGATTCTGCATGTCTAATAACAAAGCAAATTGAAGACGCTAGGGAGTGAGTGGTTATTGTGGGTGTCATCAGTATAAGTGTGGAACATAAGTTATATTTTTTATGATGTCACTAAGACAAATAGGATTGGGCGAGGATTGATCCTTGGGGGTTTCTAGAACTAATGGTACTTGAGCAAAAAGAGCCCGTTTCAAATAACATGCTTGTTGTAATTGCTAAGTTGACGTTTCTATTAGGATACTGTAAATTTCAATGTTCATGCAGTCCAATGCAGTGATCCAGAAATATTTTTATTGCTGTTGTGGTGGTATGGCTGTTAATTAGAAATATGCTGGCCATCCTTGGTCAGACAGGAGGCTACATATGGAAGGAGGTGATGTGTGTGAGGGTGCCTCTGATCAATTAATCACATTATTGTAATATAATTTTGTTTTTCAGTCATTGGAGACGTTGGACAATGGAAAACCATACCACATAGCCTACACGGCAGACCTAAATTTGGTTATCAAATGTCTCAGGTACGCATTACTTACATACCCTCTTCAATTCCTTTTGTTAAGAGTTTATGTAATAGTACTGCTTGACTATGGAAAGATTAGTATTTTCCATATCAGTGTTCTCTTTTAACTTGGTAAGTAATTGGTTTTAAGTGGTTCACTTGCTTTTTGCAGATCAGTAATGTCCTGTTTACTGCTAAATTTTCTGCCAAGAATTCTTTCTAAATCTGTTCAAATTATTTTTGAAATTATTGGGTGGAACGTTTTATCAAGAATCAAGATTTTTTTTGATGTCAGGACCAAATGTGGGTCCCAACCCTGATGGTGTCATTGAGTCTTGCTCACCTGCTCTATTCATCTGTTCTGTCTTCTGGACTCGGCTAATTAAGTTGCCTTCAAGGAGGCATGTTGAATTTTGGAATTCGTAAGTGGCCTCTGCAGGTGAGAGGAGTTATTGGAACACCTAAGGCTGGGAAAAGTGGAGGATCGCGAGCGCCTTAACATAAAGATCTGATTCCTTTCTCTGGCAAGATCAAGGTTTGAAGCCTGTCTGGTATACGACCAACAGGCAATTTTCAAAAATTTCCTGCCTCCAAAGTTGACCCTCTGAATTTTCACCAGTGGCTTCTAAAGTTGAATGATTGTTCTAATAAATGCTGTCTTTGTTGTATTTGAGACCATATTTATAAAGAGTAAAAATGTATAAAATGTTGCTGTATCACAAGCCATTGCTGATAATTACATATCTGTGTGTATTTGAAGGTTATGATGTGCTATTCGTATATTGAAGTTTAGCCTGGGAAAGATGAACTGTTTCAAATTTGAAACATGTTAGATGACACAATGGGAGTCTGAGTAGATTACATTCTGTTCCATATTTGCAACAAATATATTTTAGATTTGAATGCAATGAAGATTTTGCTTGGGAAGTTAGTCATCAATGTTGCATCGGTGAATTTTTTTTCACTACTTTTTCACCAGTGGCTGAAGGGTCAGTAATCAGTGGGACAGATTTAAAGAGATCGAAAGAAGGGCAAAATAAGGAAATGTCTTTTAAACAGCAGGTTAGCGGAAGTCTGTTTTTAATGCTGATGTAAGACCCAAAAGTGATGGTGTTAAAGCTAGACCATATTAATAAGAAATCTCCTATTTTGAACTGGCAAAATGAAGATTTTAATTAAAAATATTCCCCTCTTTGGGAACCCTGGATCCCCTTGGTATAAAAAAATTCACAGTATATTAAGCTAAGTTATAATGATTTTCCCTGTAATACAATCAAGTATACACTGCCCAAGAGATGGTAGAAGCAGATACAGTGGTAATGTTTGAAAGAGACTTGGATAAATTGCTAAAAGGAAGAAATTTGCAGAGCTATATTTATCCATGTCAGATGGATCACAAATGTTCATGAGATGGCTCACCATTTACTTGTTGAAGGCAATTGGTGCTGGGCAAATAAATGCTGATGACACTTAGAACCTGTAATTTTTTTTTAAAGAAATCTGCTTAATTGGGCAGCTCTCCCAAATGGACAGAACATGCACAATGAGCTAAAAGGCCTCTCTGTTCTGTCATGTCATTCTATGTTTTATGTACTTGAATGTAAAATTATTGTCCAGTCTTTGGACTCCATTTATTGATTTACAGATGGAATTCTCTTCTAGTCTTACTATATATTGATACTTGATCAGTTGTATAGATCCTTAAAAGTACGCTTTTAAGCAAAATAAATTCTGTTTGAGAAATTTTTTAGTAAAGAAGTGGTAACATATCCTTTCTTTCTAAACCGCACAAAGACCAAAGGAGGAAGAGAGAGTATTTAAACTATGCAGAGTTAATAAAGGCCCAACTTAAACTGAGCTGTTTTTCAAACAAAATTGTAGAAACAGACTCTTAGTGCCTCAGTGAGTTTGTCCCTAGTGAGTAAATCATAAAAACCATCAGAATCTCAGATTCTGCCCACAGTCTGTGCTGGGTTAATCATTTTCAGTGGGAATAATGGAGAAGATGCCAGAATAAACCTAGAGAAGGGAAACTTGTTCAGTTTCCATTCTTAATGGACCTCAAGAACTTGACACCAGATGTACTATGCTCCCTGTCTAGCCTCTTGTAACCTCTAGTAGCTAACCTTACTTTTAGTAAGAAGATCTTGCGTGTGGCATTTTAAACGTTTAATTCCCTTATTAGTTGGGAGTTGGTTTATTTCTTCTGGCTATGCTACTTTCATTGCATTGTTTTCTAAGTGGGGCAGGTGTGTGGGAGGGTGGGGGGTGGGAGCAGCTGTGGAGATGGGGGTGCAGGGAGGGGACAAATTGCAACATGGGGTTGAAGGGAGAAGGCAGTTGCAAAGGGGGAGAACAGTTTTAAATCTATCAATGAAATATTCAGATACAGCCAGTTCTGCTAGGACGTGTTCCAACAACACGAATTGGCGATAATACAACTAATGAATAGGGGAATACGATTTCTAAAACGTGAACTTGTCAGCTATAACAATTCCGTCAGTGCGCGGAGGAGTACGCGTCAACATCACAATTGTTTTGTGGGCTTTGTCCTGAACACGTGCAGTATTAGTGCTGAAAGAGTCTCTGCACTGGCACCATGTGGTCATTTTGCATACTGGAAGTGAATGCCATCAAGAACTTACATTTCTATGAATGAAGCATTTCTATGAATGGCTTTAAGATGGCAGAGGATTGTATGACTGTGCTGCTGGGTACCACTGCCAGTGGAGATTTTAAGCCTGTGGTGGTGTACCACTCTGCCAACCTGCAAGCCTTGAACAGGTACCGTTAAGTCTACTCTAGGTGTCTACTTTTAGGTCTAGCAAAAGAGTTTGGATGATAGGGCAAATCTTTTCTGACTTTAATATTTTGGAAGATGTATTTAGAAAGTATTGCAGGAAAAAAAATTTGGATTTCAAGATTGTACTCATCCTGGGTAATGTGCCAAGCTATCCTCCCACCTTTTTGAGCTTTCTGAGAACATCAAAGTGCTATTTCTATCCCCAAACACCACCTCTCTCCTTCAACCCATGGACCAGGGTGTAATAGCAGCTTTTAAAGCTTGTTATTTAAGGTGCACATTTAAGAGGCTGATTTCAGCCACTGCGGGGGATAAGGTCAGTGTTCTTCAGTTTTGGAAGAGCTTTAACTTCAAGAATGCAATTGATGTTATTGTGGGGTCCTGTGGTGATGTCAGTGAGGACTGCTTGCATGCAGTTTGACGGGAGCTTCTCCCAGATTTTTTTTTTTTTTTTCAAGATTCTGAGGGCTTTGATCTGTCAGAGGAGCTCCCAAGAATCAAAGAACATGGTGTTGATTTTTGCAAAGCAAATTGGATTTAAAGAAGTGGAGAGTGAGAATGTTGAAGAGCTGCTGGAGTCCCATTTGTGAAGACCTTTCTACAGCTGATCGACAACAACTTGTCACTGAGGGGGAAGTGGAAGCGAGAGATGAAGTAATAGTCCAAAATGCAGCCCAACGAGAGCTTTCTATTTCTGTTTTGTCTCCTATCCTGAGGGAAACTGAGAAGCAGTTGCAGCTTTTCAAGGACAATGATTACAATGCAGAACACAGCAGAGTAGCAATTCATGGAATAAGATCTTATTTGGCACCCCCTATAAACAGCTATGAATAGCATTAACAACATAGCAACCTCAATCTCCTTCCCCATCAAGTAATCTTGACATTTTTCAAGGTAAGGTGTTAAAGTTACTTCTGTTTCATTTTTAAATATGAATAAAACATATTCATTCAAACTATGCTGTCCTTTTCTGGTAGGTTTTTGCATGATTTTTGAGGATTTTGAGTAGTAGTTTTTGGTGGTTTATCCCTAACCCTGCTTTTCCTATAGACCCCATTATTTCTGTAAATGTGATTTTTCTATAACACTATGTTGTGCAGAAATGCAACTATCACGTTATCCCAGAACTGACTGTAACTGGGAAGCAGAAAATTTTGAAATGGCTCATACTAACGATTCCCCTAAACTAGAGGTTTAACATTCAACTATAAGGCTGCATAAGTTCAGGCAAATGTCAAAGCTATCGGAATGAATTCTGAATTTAAATGTGTGACACAGTAAAAAGGATGGTAACCTATGGTTAGAATGTTCTAGTTTTGTGTACATGGGATATTAATGCACTAACTGGCCTACACCCAGTCTGTGAAAAATATGTTGAGGTGATGGCTTTGTGTGTAAGATATTACTTTGAATGAAACTCTTGACATTTACTTGTGATTTTTGTGACATTTTATCTGCCATGGTGTCCAAGAAATTTAATGCTTTTCGTGTGTGTGGCTTTCAACTTAATGGAGGGTTGATTAATTTATTGAGAATATTGATGAATTCTTCTAATTCTGCTTCTGTGTGAAGCCAAAGACTCCTGTGTGAACACACGTAGAAGGCAATGTTACTACATAAATACATCACCTAAATAAATGAGCAGTGAGAATGACAAAGGAGCCCTTGAGTGAAAAGGAAATTGTCTCCTGCATTGGAAGCATAGACAATCCCACTGAAATAATTTATCTGAGGCCTCTACAGCTGAATCTGCATATGATCTGACTTCTTGGTAAACTGGAATCTATTTAGTCCAAGCGCAACGATTGGTGCTTGCCACAAGTGACTGGTGCTTGTCATGTACTGATTCTGCCTGTATTCTCTCAAATGCATGCAAGCTCAGTATCTGAGATGGTGGCTGCAAGTGTGAAATAATTGAAAGTGCTGTTTCTTCATTCTCCTGTTGATGTTCCTGGTCAGATACCCGGGTATCTAGAAGGAAAAGGATGCGATGCATGGAAAGTAAAAGTCAATGAACCAGCTCCTGTGAACAAATCAAGATAAGAACATGATGTTTGTGGTTGCCTATCCCTCCTTTTTTGGTTAGCTCCTTTTATCTCTCCCACTAATATTTTGCCTTACTTCCCCCTCTAGGGGAGAGAGTCTTGCAGTCTCTTAGCTGATGTGATCATAAGCTCAGATGTGGGTGTAAGATTTGTATTTAGTGGCAGTACTAATTGTGAGGCTAAGATGAAAAAATGAATGTTGAGTATGACACTGGATTGGATATTGTTAAGGTAATTATTGCTGATTTGAGGATTGTATGATGTTGCGGGTGCAGGTGGTAAGATTTGACATTTGAAAATACATTCACTGACCTTAAGCACTTGTGTGGGATTATTGAAATTCTCACAGCACTGCACCTTACTGGTCCTTTTATTTTGGGGCTTGATTCATTATGTTGACATCCACAGTTACCTGCACCTACTGCCTTTTTGACATGTACCGAGAGATTGTGTGTCTCTCTCTCCACCTCCAAGTCTGACTCTCCCTGTATAGATGTGACACTTTTTGATCCATGAAGTGTTCAAGAGCTTTGGTGCTCGCACTCTGCCTTTTGTGCCATACCTACTCTTTCCCAAGTCAAATTCTCTTCGATCACAATTCACAAAGCATCTTCCCTTTTCATAGGGTGCAGACTTGCTTTAAGTGGTGCTAACAGGCTACAGTATTGGGCCCCTCCTAATTTGTTTAGCCTATTAAATGTTTGGCTGAATGCTCATTCAAATGAGCAAGCAACATCAAGTTGACATTCTGCCTGTATTGCAATTGATCAGTCAAGTTGTACACTGCAATCCTGCGTGCTTGTTTTCAATTTAGGCTCCTTTATTTTTTTTGCTTGGAGGACTCCATAACCCAATGGTGGAGGTGTGTATGGGTTTGCCATTTATTTGCAGAAGTGGTATTGTGTAGTTTTGTCAACTTCCAGGCAACGGAAAACTTTGAGATGGTATCTGCAAAGCATTCCTCATGAATGCAATTGAATAACGCAAAGCAGAACATGCAGGTATGAACCTGCACTGTTGTCTGCCTCATGGTGGATTAACATGGTTGGAAGTGTACAAAGCAAATAAATTAATGGTTTAATGGCGTGACTTGGAAACCATCCCTTAATCATCGAATAATTTTTTTTTTTTTTTTTTTTTTTTTTTTTTTGCAGGTACTATGCAGGCTGGGCTGATAAATATCATGGTAAAACCATCCCTATAGATGGAAACTACTTCTGTTATACACGCCATGAGCCAGTTGGGGTGTGTGGGCAAATCATCCCGGTGAGTGAACAAAGAAGAAAATTTGAGAAGTTTTACTGTACAGATGAGAAGCAAAGATTGCTTTGCGTTTTCATTAGGTTCTTGATGCATATTATTATTATTAGAGTAGTTATTATAATGTTGAAGTATTTCTTTTCAAATGAATTAGTTATCATTGCCATCTAAATTTTAATACGAAAAACTTAGTCTGTATTTACATTTATGACAAAACTTCATTGATTGTGCTAAAGGGACTTGCACAACTTTCAGGCAGTTACCTGATCATGAATGTTAATGTGATTGGTGGTTGGAAAATTTTAGGCTCCCTTTCTGCTGAAGGTAAGAATACAGATTCAATACCATGTCTGTTGAATACTTCACTGAATGACACCTGGATTGGAATTACGCTCAGTGGCTCCTATTTTATATGCTTGTACTATCTATTCCACCAACCAATGTAATCCTCCACCAACTTTCTCTATGTTAAACAGCTACTTGCTCCTGAGTGTTTCAAAGATTTTCTGTTGCAGGTCTGCTTATCAGCCCTTCTGCACTAAAATATTGCTGACTTGCTCCCCAGTATACAGTAATTCATCCATTGGATCCTACCAGTAATTGCAAGAATCTAGCCTATGCCATTGTAGCATGGGTCCTGGTTACGCTTTTTTTCTTTTTGGACTGCAGATTCCAGTTGAAAACCACTGCAAGAGATTCATTGTACACCAAATCTTCCTCATCTTGTTACTTACTGTCATTTTAATTGTTTAAACAACTGTAAAAATGGCAGCACACTTTATTAAATAATTAAAAACTACAGTTTTTACTCATCTAATTTTTAAAAGTGTAACTATATCATTTTTCTTGTTTTCAGCACAAAAGATCTTAAATTTCAAACACACTTATGAATACTTGGGAAGGAGGACTATGTTACACAAAAGAGACCATATTAAAAGTGGACCTTCATATCATCCTTTCTTCTATGAGAAACGCACATATCTGCTCAGGGCCGAGCTGTATTGTCAGTACTTGCTCCTGAGGAACAAATGTGGCATGCCAGTGCAATTTGGCAAATGGAAGTAAGGGGTTAAATACCAATACTTAAGTTTAGTAAAACCGGTTGAGTAGAGGACTATAATAGAAGTTACAGATTGAGTTAGAAACAGTCAATGTACTTTGGGAAAAATTCAAATTGATTTAAAACAAGGCACCTGTAAATGTGTAATTCTCCAAAGCTGCATTTTGCTTTTTAAATCTTTGGTGCTTACCACATTCATCTATAATATAAGATTAGAGTTCATTGCTTTAACTACTTACTTTACCCTAAACTCGGGTTTTAACCAAATAGCCAGGATAAGCACCTTGTCTGAACCCGCGAACCACGTTAATTAGTACAGTGGTCCGATTTAACCCCTCAGATGCATGACTGCTAGTTTCTCTTCAGTAAGGCAATAAATATGAAGCTACTTCGTTTCAAATAGCCACAGAAGTAATAGAAATATGATTTGAATTTGGAACATGGATGAATTGCTTCACAATTCAAATCAAGTTTCTGATCAAGATTGAAGTATTATGTTGCCTGTCTCTGTGACTCAACAGTAGATGCACAGAAGAAGATGCAGCAGAGACACTTGTAGCTCTATAAAACTTAAATTAAGTACTTCAGTAAATGATACACGCCTTTAATTACTAGGATATTTCAACCACTGTCCTTTACTACCTGAGTTCTGTAATCAACCCCAAATGTTATTACCCAGGAGAGCTGGCAGCTAGCCAGGCTGGAACTCTTCTTGACATCGTCGCCACACCACCTGATGTAGGGTATTTCTTCACAGTCGTTAGGCTCAGACTTGCAGCTAAAACGGGGGGGTTTTCGGGCTGCTTTTTGTGCAGTTCAGACCTGCCACATTTGGCATTCCAATTTCCTTATTTGGAATTATTTGTGAAACTTGACCAATTCTAAATGGTCAAATGCCTTTGGTTTCTGTGAAGCCTTCTCCCTTTTATGGTCTCAATTGTGACTTAGCCTCCCGTTTTGGTCTTCCTGGCAACTAGAATGTCATTCTGTTCATTCTTCCTAACTGAAGCTGGAACTCGGGTTACCACCTTAGAAAACTGCTTTCTACATTGCCTCTGTCTGGCTTGCAGCTAACTTTTCTTTTCAGTCCATTGTAAAATCTCATTGATTCTCATATCTTTGGTCTTATCCAACAATTGTTGATAACTTCTATGTATTTTTTTATTTTAAAAGTAACTTCCAATTTTATCTCCCTTTTTCAGTGGAATTTCCCACTGTTGATGCAGGCCTGGAAGCTTGGACCCGCACTAGCAACTGGAAATGTGGTGGTGATGAAAGTGGCAGAGCAGACCCCATTAACAGCGCTGTATGTAGCAAATTTAATCCAGGAGGTAGGGCTAATTTTTTTTTTTTTTTTTTTTTGTTAAACACTTAAAAATAGTTTATCAAATGTGCTTAAAAATTTTATTTCCTTGTGCAATATTGCTCATTGTCATCTGGTTCATTAATGCCCTTTGGGGAGCAAATTTCCCTTCCTTCCTTAGTCCAGCTGATTCTGGATCCACTGCAGTGTTATTGACTGGCTTTTAGGTGTCCTCTGAAATGGTGATTTCAAGCCACTTGGTTGTTTCAAACTGCCATGCAGCAAGGATATGGACTGCAGTGATTCAAAAACGTGGCTCACGTGTGCACGCGAGCAATTAGAGGCAGTAAATATTGGCATTGTCTGCATTGTTCGCATTCTAAGAATGAAACTTGACTTTTAAAAGTTTTTGATTTTGCTTTGACTATGGGAATGTGATGAGACCACATCTTGATGTTGGATGGAAAATAACAAGGTAACTCGCCTATGGTTACTTTCTTATTGATAAGCAGTAACAATATCAGATGATTGTTTGTATTCCATCATTTACTTTCTGTGAAGGTGTAAAATAAAGAACAGGGAAGGAAACGTTTTTAGAAACCAAAGCTGAATTAGACAATACCTAAGTCTTCAAGAGATTGCTGCTGCTGCTGCTGCTGCTGAAGCATTCTGAAATGACTCCTATTTCCTTTGAATATTTTTTTGACTTTGCACACAGTGTTGCTTCACAGTGTTATTATTGGTGCCCTAATGATGGTGGTGATGTCATCTATTGTATAAATCTGTTTTCTTCTTATCCATTGATTTTATACATAATTCTTGGAGCTGACTTTTGTTGCCCATTGCAATGGATTTTCATAGGGATGTCTCCAAGAGTCGGTGCAACAGTTTTTGAAGAAAGCCTGGAGACCCAAAATCCTGACCTGACTTGTGATTTCCTGCTTAGTCTTATGAAGGGCTCGGCCTCCTTGGAGTGTAGATTTATAATTCCTTAAAAGTGGAGTCCCAGGTGGACAGGATCGTGAAGAAGGTGTTTAGTATGCTTGCATTTATTGGTCAGTGCATTGAGTATAGGAGCTGGGAGGTCATGTTGCAGCTGTACAGGGCATGGATTAGACCACTTTTAGAACACTGCATGCAATTCTGGTCTCCCTGCTAATGGAAGGATGTTGTGAAACTTGAAAGGGTTCAGAAAAGATTTACAAGGGTGTTGCCAGGGTTGGAGGGTTTGAGCTATAGGGAGAGGCTGAATAGCCCCAGCCTACTTTCCCTGAAGCGTCAGAGGCTGAGGAGTGATACAAGTTTTATAAAATCATGAGGGACATGGATAGGGTGAATGGCCAAGGCCTTTTCCCCAGGCTGAGGGAGTCCAAACCTAGAGGGAGTAGGTTTATGTAAGAGGGGAAAGACTTAAAAGGGACCCAAGGGATTTACTTTTTAACACAGGGTGGTGCATGTATGGAATGAGCTGCTGGAGGAAGTGGTGGAGCCTGGTACAATTACAACATTTTTAAAAAGGCATCTGGATGGGCATATGAATAGGGTATAGGTTTAGGGGGATAAGGCCAAATGCTGGTAAATAGGACTAGATTAATTCTGGGATATCTAGTCGACATAAATGAGTTGGACTGAAGGGTCCATTTTGATGCTGTACAATGTTATGACTCTGCCTCCTCTTTCTATGTCGTGATATGAAAGGGGCACAATCCTAAATGTTCCTGCCTCAAAGCATTGTGGATCCTACATAATATTCAAAGCAAGTGTACTGTCAGATGAGGCATGCCAGTACCAGATCCAGAGTATCTTTTTGCCTATTCTTTGAATGTGGGCGTCATTAACGATGTCCAACATTTGTGGCCCATTATGATTTGTCTTTGGCAGTTAGCTGCCACCATGAAGACCTGCAATCTGTCTGGTGAAAGAGCTCCCACTATTTTGGAATGCCAGAATTTTGACCCAGCCACAATCAAGTAATGGTAAAGTGTGTTCAAGTTAGATTGAAGTATGATTTAGGGAGAAAGTTTAGATATGCTGATGTTCATTCTGTCACTGTCCTACTCAACATTTTGAGTTAATGAGTTTGGAAAATATTTAGGCTAGTAGATGAAGTGTTGATCAAGTGGACTGATTTTTCCCGGATAATGGTAAGTTTCTTGCGTTGTTATGACTGCACTTGTTCAGGAGATTTGAGTATTCTTCTTCACATTCTTGACTTGAGCCTTGTAGATGCTGGAAAGACTTTGGGGAATTAAGCGTGATATTCACTGCAAAATATCCACCTGCTGTAGAATATGGTAATTCCCAACATATTCCTGTTGGGAGACCTAGCAATGATAATCCCATTATGTGTCATTGTTAGATTGTGTTTTGTTAGCATTATTGCCTGTTACTTCAGTGATGTAAGTGTTATCCCAGGAGCTGGATAGGGCCTTCCATTACTCTCTTCATTTGAGGCAATGACCTGACCAGCCATCAGGTAATGACTTTTCTTTATCTCCACACTATTTAAATGGTTTTTATCCATATCTTTTGACATTTTTGTCCAACAAAATCCAATTTCTTGATATTGTGTGGAGTGAAATGACAGTCATCTGTTTTGCTAGGGTCCTCAGGAGTAGGCAAGATGGATCATCCACTGGGCACTTCTGGTTGAAGATGAATGAAGATACTTCAGCCTTGTCTTTCGCACTGATTTTTCTGGGATCTCTCAACATTGACTTTGGGATAATTTTGGAACCTTCACCTCCTGTTAGTTGTTGAATTGTATGCCATTCATGACTGACTGTGTGACAGAACTGCAAAGCTTAGATTTGATCCAAACAAACTTATGAATTAAGAGCAGAAGTAGATCATTTAGCCCTTCAAGACAGCTCCACCGTTCAATAAGATCATCATGCCCGATTTGTTTGTATTCTGAATGACATGACACATTTTCATCTGCCCCAATAACTTAGGATTGTTGTTAGTCAAGTTCCATGTCTGCCTTATCAAGATCATTCATGAACCTCACTCAAATTACCCCTTCTTCTAGTGAAAACAAGTCCAGCCTGTTTAATCTTGCCTTGTAAGACAACCCACTTGTTCTAAGTATCAATCCAATAAATTTACTTTGAGCTCTAATACATTTACATCCATCCTTAAATAGAGACTAAAATTACACACCGTATTTAAGATGTGTATAATTGAAGCATGACGTCCTATTCTTAATATTAATTTCCTTCTGTAATAAAGGATAGCATCCTATTAAATGTAAAATATTGTGGATGCTGGAAATATGAAACAAACCCAGAATGCTGGAGAAACTCACCAGGTTCTGTAGAAAGAGGAAGAGTTAATGTTTCAAGTTTGGTATGACTGTTCTTTCTCCTGCCCAAGATGCTATCAGACCTGCTGAATTTCTCCAACTTTGTGTGTGTTAGCATTCTATTAGCTGCCTTCTCTTGCTACTAACTTGTCATGACTCATAATAGAGCACCTAGATCCCTCTATGCCTCAGAATTCAGCAGTTGTTCTGTTTAAATAATATTCTGCTCTTTTTGTTCTTCCCTTCAAAGTGAACATCTTCAAATTTTCCCAAATTATACTCCAAACTTTTCCCCATTCACTTAACATAGCTGTATCAATCTGTATTCTTGTAATGTAATCTTCACAACATCCTTTTCTACCTATCTGTGTCATTTGCAAATGTAGCCACCATGCCTTTGGCTCCTTCATCTAAGTAATTGATATAAATTGTAAAAGGTTGAGGTCACAGCAGCGATCCATGCAGGATGCACTGTCACACCCTGCCAAACCAAAAGGCTAATTTTATGCATGTGCTGTTTTCTGCCAGCTAGTCTTCTGACCCTACCCCATGAGTTCTAATTTACGCCACAACCTTTTTATGTAGAATCCTATCAAATGCCTTCTGAAAATCCTAGTTAAGTACATCAACAGGTTCCCTCTTATCTGTAGTGAATGTTATTCCTTAAAGAATCCATTTATTGTGGGATCCTCTAGCCCTGTTTATTGCATGATTCTTCTGCATTTTGGCATGCAAGTAGTCTTGTGCTATAGCTTCACCAGATTGCAGTTACTTTTTATATGTGCCTGGTGCTGCTCCTGGCATGTCCCTCCCGCACTCCTCATTGAACCAAGTTCAGTTCTGCCTCTGTGGATAACTTGCATCAGATCTTGAATGCACATGTTTGAGTTGCTGGACCTGTTTTGAAGTTTGTCCCATTTTTGTGTGATGAAAGTGCCACACAACGCAATGGATGGTATCCTCAATGTGAAGCTAGGACTTCAACACACTGACTGCGTGGTGGTCAATCCAATCTGTACTGTCATAAGCAACTGCATCTATGATGGGTAAATTGGTGAGAATTAGAATTAGACTTAGAATCCCTACAGTGTGGAAACAGGCCCTTCGACCCAACAAGTCCACACCGAACCTCGGAGCATCCCACCCAGATCCATTCCCCTATGACCCACCTAATATACACCCTCTACCTCCCTGAACACTACGGGCAATTTAGCATGGCCAATCCACCTAACCTGCACATCTTTGGACTGTGGGAGGAAACCGGAGCACCCGGAGGAAACCCACGCAGACACGGGGAGAATGTGCAAACTCCACACAAACAGTCGCCCAAGGCTGGAATCGAACCCAGGTCCCTGGCGCTGTGAGGCAGCAGTGCTAACCACTGTGCCACCGTGTCGCCCTCAAATGAAGTTAAGTAGATTTTTCTACTATTGGTTCCCTCCCCAACTGCCACAAACCCAGTCTTTGACCAGCTTTCTCAATAGTGATGCTACTGAGCCAATGGTGGTGGACATTGAAGCCCCCCATCCAGAGTACATTAAATATTCTTACCGCCCTTAATGTTTACTCCAAATGTTGTTCAAATGGGGTAGCACTGATTTAATTAATTGAGTGGCATAAAGTAGGTGGTAATTATCAGGCAGTTTCCTTGCCCATGTTTGACCCGATGCCATGAGACATCGTGGGGCCTGGAGTCCATGTTGTGAACTCCAAAGGAAATTCCTTCTTAACTCTCTATCACTGTGCTGTCAAATCTGGTG